TACTTTAGGTCTCAAATTGTCTTGAGTCAACCTGCTGGTGATGGCTTTGAAGATAGTTGTTATCATCAAACAGTTGATCCAGCGAGTAAGAATTTAGAAAAAATATTTTGGTGATGTCTTTGAAGACAGCTGTTATCATCAAGCAGTTGGTCCAATGAAAAAGAACTTAGGATAAAAATTTTGGTGATGTGTTAGAAGACAATTGTTATCATCAATATAATTTTTTTTGCTTAATACTTGAGGTCGAATCTCCAAAGCTATGCTAGAGCACCCAAAGGAACCTTATTTCCGGCCCCAACGTTGTGTAGTGGGACTTCCCACAGATAACTCTGTGATACTAAGGGGCGTTAAAACGAATATGTAAAGTAATCTATCTGTATTACCAAAAAAAAAAAACCCAAGAAAATAGCTGTTAAAGTTTTAAAAAGAAATTAAGGGAGCAACTGTCTATTAATTGCAAATGCAAGGTACCACTGGTAAGGCTCAAGCATTTTTAATTTTTAATTTTTAATTTTTTTTGGCTTTTTCCGAAATATTTTTTGTAAATAAAATTGTTTTTGTACTTTTTTTTTTTGACCTTTTACTTTACCTGCTCTATTTCTCATAGTAATTATGTGCACAAAAATTCCATCGTTGCAAAGTGCAATGTTCCGTTTGGTATGATGAAAAAAATAGAAGGATGAAAAGTTAGAGAAATAAATAAAACATTATTTTTGGTAATGAAGGAAAATAAAAAGGATAAAAAAGTAGATAAATGAACATTCCTTCCAACTCACCAAAATCAATTCCTTCTAAATCGGAAGAAAAGTTGATGAAAAGTTAATTATTTGTGTTGAGATATATCTTATTTGTTTATATATCTTTTAATATATACATATATTATGTATAAATCAATTTCATATAAAAATACAATGATAAAATATGTATTTATATATTTATTTTAAAAAAAAATTAAAAAAATAAAAATTTTAAATTAAAAATATATTTTTTCCATCTTAACTAGGGGTAAAAATTTTCGACTTAACACAATAACACGACTCAAACTCAACACGAATTTTATGACACGAACTTGAAAATGATCTGACACGCGAACAAAAAATATAAAAAACTCATATTCAATTCAATCAGTCAAACTCAAAATTGACACCATCAACACGTTTATTTAAAAATAAACACGTTCTTTATTTTCTTGTTTGTATGGTAACACGAAATTAACACGAAACTAACATGTTTAACTAATATTATAGACATAAAATGTTAATTATTTGTAACTATTTATTAAACACTGACATAATTATTATATAAAAAAATATTTTTATTTATTATTATTATATTTATTCAAGTTAATTTTTAGGTTGTAGAAAAAATATTAACATGGATTCAATTAAGTGAAAATAAAATATTAACGTTAAATTTTTTATTCAAAATTTATGTGGGTCAACACGAATACAAACACGAACACAACACGAAACGAAAATTAATAGAGTAACTCACAACTCGACACGACACAATTAGTTAAATGAGATGAGTTAGGTGTGACTAATGTTCGAAACAAACTAGTATTGACTCAACACGAATCTGACACGACACGATTCGATTGTCACCTCTAATCTTTGCCAGCAAAAAAAAAATTAGTCATTTTTATTTTTTATCCATCCAACCAAAAGCAAAAGAAAAAAAATGTATCATTCTTGTTTTCATTTCTTAAAGGATAAAAAATGTATTGTTCTTACTTTTCACCCCTCCTATTTTCTATAATTTCTACCAAACGGAGCATAAAAAAAGTCAGATCCATACCTCTACTTGCAAAAGAACATTTTCCATTACTTGATAAAATGAATTAAAGCCATAGTAGAGTAATTTTACCGCTATAAAAATACCTCATTCTCTCTCTTTTTTAGCCATATATGCATCAATATGAATATATATATAAAATAAATTACAATATAATTCAAATTTTAAAAAATAAACAAAATAACTTTTACTATTCGTGGTTGATATTGCTTTAAATTTTACTTTAAAATTAATCTAACGATAATATTAATATCTCAAATTTAATATAAAAAATAAGTTTTTAAAGATGTGTTTGAAGTGACCTTTTAAAAGTACTTTTAAGAATTATTTCTCATAAGTACCTTACCGCCACTGTCCCGCCATCACTCCTATAACCCCCACCGCCCCACAACCACCTCCACGACCATCACAACTATCACCACCATCGCCTACCCACCACCGCCATCCCCACCACCGCCACTGCCCCACTTGCACCCCCACCCCACCCTCCTGCCCCACCGTCACCACTGATTGCTACCATCGTCGTCCACTGTCACCACTCTCTATCATCATCATCTTATTCTTATATTTGTTATTATTACCATCATTATTCCACTACCACCGTCGCCTACTGTCAGCACCCACCACTACCATTGTTGCCCACCGTCACCCACCACAACTCGTTGTCACCCACCATCGCCACCAGCTATTGTTATCCCACCCCACCACACCTATCACCACCACCTGTCATCACTCACCACTGTAGTTACCTACTGTCACCTACCCTCACCATACTTAACATCGCCGTTATTCGCCACCACCCATCACACTGTCGGCTAGAAGCACCTACTGTCACACACCACCACTATCGTCACCGTCCACCACTACCGTCGTCGTCCCACCATCACCACTACCGTTGTCGTCCCACCATCACCACTGTCAACCACCATTACCACCCACACCCACCACCACCACCACCGTCACCCGCGACTGTCACTACCATCATCGTCATCCAAAATCCACCACCACCATCACTGTTGTTGCCACCCACGACAATCATCACTGTCTTTCACTATCATCATTGCCGCCCACCACTACTAACACTGCTCACCCCATTACAATTGATACTTAAATTTCTTTATCTCTCATTTATGTTCGTGATTTGATTTTGTGAGTGAATACAAATATGTTTATTGTTGATCATTTTTTTTTATTATTCCGTGTCTTTAGACATGAGAAATAATTAGTATATAAAATAAAGTACAATACAATTCAAATTTCAAAAGATAAACAAAATAATTTTTATTTTTCACGGTTAAGATCTCTTTAAATTTTATTTTAAAGTTAATCCAATGGCTAATATTGACACCCCAAATTTAATTGAAAAAATAGGTCCATAATGGTGTGTTTGAAATAATTTTTTAAAAGTACTTCTAGAATTTATAACTTTTCATAAGTATTTAAAAAAAAACAAAGTATTTAAAACTACCCCAATGCCACTACCCACACCCTCACCGCCTCACCACCATCATTACCATTACCACCACAACTACCATTGCTGCCACCACACCACCACCTAAGCTTCAACAACAACCACCACCACTACCGCACCCGACGCCCCACTACCACCATCACCACTACATTCATCATCGCTGCCGCCACCCTACCACCCCCCATTCCCACCACCATTGTTGTCGCCACCACCACCACTGCCACCCACCATCACAATCACCGCTCGCCCCAACTACAACCGGTGGTTAAATTCTTTTTTTCTCCTTTATATTTGTAATTTGATTTTAGGTGTAAATATAAATATGTTCATTGTTGACAATTTTTTTATTTACTCCATGCATTTAGGCGCGAGAAATAACTAGTATACATAATAAAGTACAATACAATTCAAATTCTAAAAATAAACAAAATGACTTGTGCTTTTCACAGTCTAGATTGTTTTAAATTTCATTTTAAAATTAATCTGATGACTAATATTAATTCTTCAAATTTAATAAAAAAAATAAACTCTTTAAAGGTGTGTTTTGGGTGATTTTTCAAAAATGCTTCTAATAAACACTTAAAAAACATAAACACTGTTGCCCCACCACCATCACCATAACTGTCGCCCCTATCCGACCACCACTTTCCACCACCATCACCATTGCCCCACCATTATCACTGCTACCCCACTACCATCGCCACCATCACCGTTGCTGCCACCCTACCACCACCGTCTATGCCCAACTCTTACCATCGTCACCCCACCGTCACCTATGCCACAACCATCATCGCTGTCGCAACCGTCGCCCCACCACCCCCACGGTCGCCACCACTGTTGTCGCCACACCACCTCTATCGTTGTTACCCCACCACTATCGTCGCCCTACTACCATAATCCACCACCACCCACTAACGTCGCCCCCCCCACCATCTACGCTGCCTCACCACCATTGTCAACCACCATCACCGTCGTCCACCACTATCACTATTGCCACTCATGGCTACTATCACCACTACAGTCGTCTCAACTCACTATAACCATCATCGTCTCCCACCACCACCACTACTATTGCTCATCCCCACTATATCCGATATTTAAATTTCTTTTCCTCTTCTTTATTTTTGTAATTTGATTTTGGATGTGAATATAAATATATTTATTATTAACCATTTTTTTATTATTCTATGTCTTCGGACACAAAAAATATCTGGTATAAATATATTTCATATACTAAAGTGTATCTCCATCACTTTTACAAAATAGTCATTAAATACGTTTTAACTTTTTTTAAAAAAAAATTACTTAAAAGAAAGTACTAAATAAAAGTCAGTTATCAAAAGGTACATCACTTAGTTTTCCATGGAAATATATTAGAGTGTGGTTAGTGGTTACCTTAACCCCCGTCCCTCTCTCTCTCGCTCTCCCCTTTTCCTTTTTCTCCCTACCCTACAGGAAAAGAATATTAGAGGACACTTTATTTCTCAAAGATTTCTATATGCAGGACCGGGGCTCATGTTCATTTGGAGGAGGGGGTGTTTACCCAGTAGAAGATTTGTTAGTTTGAGTAGTTGACTCCCTGTGATATCTACCATGGTTTTGGCTCTGATGAGGGATTTGCAGTTCATGTCTACACTCCGGTGCTAGGTTACCAATCTAAGTGTTTTCTACCAACCCCTCCCACAATGATAGAAGATGGGCAATATGTAAATGAAAGAAAGCCACAATGAATTTATTGAAGTACTAATACATTATGCTGAAATTTAAGAGGAAATCATTAAATAGTCTCTCTCTCTCTCTCTCTCTCTCTCTCATGGCTTTTGGGAAGTTGGCATTGCCAGCGATACCCCCGACCCCCTTGGCAAATCCTTCCATTGTTGAGTCACAGTCTTGATCTGGGTGAAAAATTGAACTCCCGCCTTGCCTGCATTTCAAAAGAAAGATGAGAGAGAGAGAGAGAGAGTAAAATAGGAGCAAAGCTAAAGGGGAAGCATGCTTTACCATAGAAGTTGAGATCCCCGCGAAAGATGCCTTGGAACCAGTAAATGAGAAGAACGGTAAAGGAACTGGGATTGGAACATTGATGCCAACCTGATCCAGAAAGACAAAAAAATTTCAATGGTTTCTTCTCTCTTTCCTTGCTTCTTACTGCTTTAATAAGCGAAACTTTACCATCTACTGTCAAAATGGGGGCCAGATCAACCAGAATACCGGGGGAAACCAAAGGCTAAGCCCCATACACTCCAATAATAACTGACTTCGTCATAAACTTATCACTGGGATACTAGATACTAATGCAGGTGAGTGTTTTGTAAGAAAGGAGAAGAAAACAAGCATCTAATTATTTAGCAAAAAATACAATGGCAGCCAGAATGTACAAATATGTATTTCACCAAGGGCATCAAGAAAATCGTTTCTTTACCTGCCCTGCCTCGATCTCATTCTGGAATTTCCTCGCAGTTACACCAGATGTGGTAAAGATAGCAGCTCCATTGCCATATCTACAACAGGGAAACAATTCAAATGAATGAGAATACCACATATGCATTGACCATTTCAGGCGAGAGAATTTATAAAAGAGGACGTACTTATTTCTGTTAACAATTCTAATCGCCTCTTCTAGGCTGTCCGCCTGCAAATAGAGGACAACAAGAAATCTATTTTAGCAAAGGCTCCATGACAGAGAATCACACGTGTGTCTTCACATAAAATGTATTTTGGCTTCAGCAGCTAGATTATAAAAGAAGCAATCCAGCAAGCGATTGAGAGACCTGCAAGCAAAGAAGAACTGGGCCAAAGATCTCCTCCTGCACCACGCCAAATGGAGTCGTTAAATTCATACAATTTCTAAGGTTCAAGCTTCCTCTAGTCAGAACCATGGATTATTTAAGGCTCATTTTACAGACATACGGAAGGATATAGAACACGAATAGATACCTTGTAACATTCCATATCTTCAGTGACACCAGACAAAATGGTGGGACCGATAAAGTTGCCAAGCTCATATCCTGGAACCTGTAAGTCACCAAGAAGCAGCAAAGTATGATTTGATCAGTGTGCATCGTGAAAAAACACAAAAACAAATGGAAATAGAAACCCCTCCATAGTACTTTGCATACGACACTTGTAAATTATAATGTTCGCACAATAAGTTTCTACACATCAACACTTGAACATTAGAGCCTTATTCATTGTGCATATTAATAAGCTTTTATCACTTATATGATGAGGTGTATCTAAAATTCATTATTGGTCAACAGGGATAGTGAAATTCCAGGATTACACTACAGGAGACAAAATTTGTGCATCTCTAGGCTTTCTGTGAGTTGTTTCTACTGGCTCCAAAACATTAGCAGTTAATTGTCTAACTACCAATTCAAAAATGTTACCTGCAATTAACACGCTCAACATCGGTTAGCCAAGGACCAGGTTTCGCCACTTTAGAGAAGGAAATACCAGTGGCAAATAGTAGGCTAACAGGTTTGTCTTGCCCTAGAATACTGCTGTTTGCCCACTAAGTTTTTTTAGTTCTTTTCTTCCATTTCCCCTCACTTTTGTCCTCTGTCAAGTGGATTATGGGTAAGAAACATCACCACAAACATTATTCCTCTCACATGAAAAGGTTTCAGAATGAACTTACCCACTGAGGTTTACTAAGTCAAACTTTTGGGGTCAGTTAATTTCATCATATTCATTTCATAAAGCTTTAGACTCATTATGCTATACAAGAACCATCCATCACAAGGCAGAGTATTAACCAAGAAAAGTAAGCACATCATCATACCACCAAGGCGGCAAGCAAAATAACACAGTAGCAATAATCATAATCGGCAACATGAAATATATGAATAAATACCACAATATTTCTCCCATCAAGCAACAGTCTGGCACCACTTTCAACGCCACTCTGAATTAATCTGCAAACCCGTTCCTTCGCCTGTGACCACAGAAAAATTCTCAAGCAACATAATGTTAAAAGAACCCAAGCAAAACAAATATACATCTTTGGATTGTTGCCTGTAGATCAGGTGAACTATTGCTCAATGGTTTTTCCACAACTCACTGTTTTATCTTCAACATTGGGCTGAAATAATTTGGCACCACGTACTCACCTGTTTGCTAATTACTGGACCGAGGTCTGCATCAGGCTCTGTTCCACCATTTACTTTAAGCGCTTTGGCACGTTCTACCAGCTTATCTTCCCTACATGATTGTAAAAGATCACTGTTATATATCTCACATCCTTAAACAATTCCAATAAGCACCATCACTTGTCTAACCATTTGAGAACAAAGAAATCCCTTCAAGAAGATGTAAGGAAGATAATCTCTACATCAAATGGCATCATTTAGTAAAACCTCAAAAGTGTACATCTCAATCTACCACTTGATTAATGTGTTCAAAAACATATGCAGAATAAACGCCCGGTATTCTTTACATTAGCTGTGAAGTTCATATGAAAATTTATGTTCACCCAGTGTCTTGAGAGTTTGTCTCCACTCAATCTGCATCCTCACACAGTGCTCTCACAAATTCACAATAGAACACAAATTGTGGAATTTGTCTCAGTTGCTTATTTGGAGTATAAATGAAGTGCCCAGAGAGTAATAACAGGGTGATCAAGATTAACAAGGAATATGGAATCACTGGTAAGCAAACAGATTTTAGTGTCAGAAATGGCCATCTTACTATTCAAGTTATTGGATCTTCAACATATTTCTACAACAAATTGAGAGGCATCTGACAAGGAAACTTCTTTGACTTTTTTCTAGGCAGACAACACTAGACAATTGTCAGAAGGGTCTGTAAACCAAACGCCTTCATAAATAATTCCACTACCACTTTAAGACCAGTAAGTACCGTCTGAACTACAACTGAAATTCTTAAGGTTTGCCACTTTTCATTACTCCAAGTAACCATGTTAGTTCTTAGAAGCACTAGCAAAATTATTAAGAAGGGGTAACAGGTGATTTGTCGTAAACCATGCTATGAAGCATGCTGACAAAGTTTGTCAGGACAAGTGTTGTGGGGTAAATTTGCAGAGATTTAGAAACATTAAGTTCACTATTTGAATCTCATGAGCAAATGCATATAGTACGACATCGCCACTAATAAAGCCCGGCTGTTGTTAGTTGGTTCTTTCTTAATGCTAATGTGCCATTGAAAACTATTTATTCTCTACCAAATAAACACGGAATTTCTTTTTGGGTTGGCAGATCAAAGTATAAAGAACACTCAGCAAAAGTAAAAAAATGAGGGAGAAAAACATAATACCACGATTTTGAGTCACCAACAAAGACCACTGTGCTCAGCGCCATGCACCGTTGTCCCGCGGCACCAAAACCAGCAGCTACTAGGGCATTTAATGTAGCATCTGGGCTTGCATCAGGCATGACAATTCCATGGTTTTTGGCTCCCATATTGGACTGAAGACAGTTATCAGAGAGCTTGTCAATTTAGTTGAGTTCAACTAACTGCTGTAGGACCAAAACAGATGAACGCCACTAACCTGAACACGTTTCCCTTTAGCTGATGCTCTTGCATATATATGCATGCCAGCCTTGGCAGTAGGCAAGAAAGCAATTAAGAAATTATCTAATACAAAAGTAAACCATGTGTAATGGCAGAAACCAAGATATAAGTGAATTTAGAATGTAAGATACATTATGCTGACAACATAATTTCAATAAATCACAACATTCAAGAAAAATCAACATCCAAACATTTAAACAATGACTGGAAAAGAAAAGAGGTTATAATGTGCAGTCAGAAACTGACGGACTCAAAATATTCAAGTTCAAAAGGTAAGACTACTTTATTGGTTTCAACTGGATACAATAAGTCTGAAGATCCAGCAAAGGGCAAAGGATACAAGAAGGAAGAAGGCTTTTGAAGCACAGTTGAATGAGTATCTCAATGGCAGCATTAAGGGCATATTGATCCAGCCAAGGGATAAAAAAAAGTGGTGGAAAATTTATCTGGATGAGGACTTACAATCAATGAGAAAGCAGCAAATTATTGGCATCCAACTATCAACTAAAATCTAGTCAGTACCATCACCGAGGGTAGGGTAGGATCAACATGAAACTGCTCATCAAAATCAAATGGGCTCCCTTATGTTAAACATATCACATGGACAAAGTGACTATCATTCTTCTGAACTGAAGAACCCTCTTCTCCCGTTGGTTAGGGGATGATCCCAATCAAGCATACTTGTGAGGTACAGAGGATCTTTCCCCTGCAAGTAATTTTCAATTTTTTTTTGGGCCTTAGAGATTTAAGTTCAATCATTGAAACTTTGAACAGAGATGTAGGTGATGGGCTAGACTGAGGACCCATCGGAAGGGACTGTAAGCCGACAAGAGAAAGCAGTGCCAATTAATAAGGTAGAGATTAATAGTGAAAAAGTATTCCTCCAGAAGATTAAAGCTGTACATCCTCACAAACTCAAAAAGAGATGTAAAAGGCACAGTACTTAAGATTAGTAACTTGCAAATTGCAAGAATAACAAGGCATAAAAAAAATCATATATAACTTGGTTTTGGGAATAGAACGTGGGAGCCATAACTTACTGTGTTTGACCCAACAAAAGATATAGCTCTAATATCGTCGTCATCACAAATAGCATTAACAATGTCCTGAAAATAATGTTAAATAATAGAACATCAGGAATAAAACAAGCATCCGAACAGAAAAAAAATCATCCTTTTAGGAAAAATAGGTTTAAAAGAAAAAATTAAGAAGCCATAAGAATCCTCTTAAAAAGACGACACATCCTATTGTTCACTAAGAGAAGGTCAAAAATATATCCAAATTATTCATAGAATTGATATCTCATACTGATAAGAAAATAAAACAAAAAAGAGCATAAACAACTGCACAAGTACATGCATACGTTGGTGCCATGAACAATATTTAAAACACCATCTGGTAAACCGGCCTCCATTGCCAACTCTGCCAGCATTATAGAAGCCCCTGGAAAACAAATAAAACAGAAAGCAAATAAGTTTCCATAAAAGAATGAAATAAGATGCCTTCTGTGGTTGAATATTGAAGCTGTACCAAATGACAACAAAAGCTAGATCTAAATCAAAAGACATGTGTTGTCAAGGATTAAAGTAACTAAGAGAATAAGTGCATGTTCACACAAGAGAGCGAATAAATATTGTATATAAGGTAGAAGGACATCTCCATAGACTAGCCTAGAAATAACTTTTAAGAAGATAAAATTTAACGATTTTGAATGAAGTTTTGAATTTCTAGGTTACATGGAGTTTTAACAGGTCCCAGGTTTAACTCCCTTGCAAAAATTTACTCAAGAAAAGGTCTGTGCAGCCCATTTGTATATCAATAGGGCTGCTGGCACAACCTGTTAACTTTGATCAATCATAGAAAAGTAAGAGAAAGAAGAACAGAATATTATTAAGGTACAATAAGCCAGAACAATCTTAAAAAAAACTTCTTAAAAGAAAACTACTATATAAGAGGTGTTTATATAGTAGGGCAAAAGGAAAACAATCAGACTAAGCTAGGGCAACATAAAAGTAAACAAAATGATTAAGCTACCCCTAAGTCTAAATAACCTAATTACTCTAATATCCTTCCTCAAACTCATGAAGTGGTAACAGAAAACATCAAGAGTTTGCCAAGAAGAAAATGAAAACAAGTGACAGGATGCGATTTTGTGAAGAAATCTGCTAGCTGCATACAGTCCTCCCTTTCTACGGCATGTCCCAATCAGCTTGTTGGACTGTGGATCCTGAAGGACCTGAGGTAAATGAACCTATTAAAAGAGATACTGTAAGTGCACCAAGCCCTCATGGAAGATTCTGCCATCGGAGGGGGCGGGAACACCCCACCGTACCCCAAGAAAAATGGAAAAAAAAAAAGAAAAAAAAAAAAAGTCATTGACACCATCCTTTTCATATCAAGCGCAAGATAAACTAATATAGCAAATTCATTAACTTGAAATAATACAACCCACGAGTTCGGTGAGAAATGAAAATGCTCATTCAACAAACTAACATTGCCAAAATAAACACAAAAAGCACCCAAAAAAACGTAGGTGTACAGCTTACTCCTCAGAAAAATATCTAAACCGTCAGTAGTTCAATCTTAGCCGAGAAATGTCAAGTGCATGACTTGTTCACACAAACCCTATGTATATTCATGCAACCAAGTCAGCCAGATGCGCCAGTGCACAGATATAGACGATTCTATCCAGCCCTAGAAGTTCCAATTATTCTCTTCTGACTGAAGATAACCTCTGCACCAATGAGGGCATGCTTTATACTATTGCCTTGATCCTTGAAGATTAGAGTTTACATTAACCAATGAAGCTCACACTTATGGTATACTTCATTGTTGTTGGGTTTAAATAGAGGAAGTGCAGGTGCGTTAGTGGATGGCACCACAGGTGTAACAAACAGTAGGGTCGCAAAATTGAGGATAGTTCCAGTACTGAACATCTAGGATGACATTGGTTGGCTAAATTCCGGTGAATCCTTTTAACAAAACAAAAAATCTATCAGGAAAATAACAAAATAAAAAAGAAATGCTAGCACCAAATACAAGGCTGCAGCACGAAACAGAGGAAACAAAAGAGCACCAATCTTATAAGAATCATTTCAAAACCTGAATTTAAAGACAGCTAAAACCAAGGTTCTGAATAACGGTAACGGCGGCAGTAACGGTAATGGTAACGGTAACGGTGTAACGGACGCGGGATGAAACGAGCGCTACATTACAGTAATGGAAACTGAGATCGTGAATTTTTTATTTTCTTTCACACCTCTCTAAAAAAATAAATTTATGCATTTTTAACTCTAAGTTTTTGCAAATATAGACCTTCTATGATACTTTATACATTTTATTGTATCATAAACAATGTTATATATATTTATCATTTAGTAATTACATGATAAGAGTTTTTACATGACTTTTAATTAAAGGCAATCCACTTAAATTTTTTTGGAAAAATTTAGAAATCATAGCCAATTGAGATGTAGAATCTTCTTTTTAATTATAGATGTACATTCCTAAACGATGGAAAAATATTACCAAAATACAAAATAAAAAATCTGACTGTAAATTCCATTGGACCAAGCTAGACCCATTTTTTACATTTGGGCTGGCTATCACTTTAGAGAATATCTCACAACAAGGGCAACTTAGTTTTTTCATAACCATTATCTAAACCCTAAAACTTATCTCTTTTCCTCCACTTTTCTCCGTTGTTCATCTGTCCCCAAATAGCACTATCTTAAACAGAAGAGGCATTTCTCTCTTCCACTATCGGCTAATCCATGTAAGAATTGAAGCTCCACTCAAAGTAGCCAAGCAGTGGTTTAGAAGTTGATGCCGTTGAAGAGAGACCAAATTTACACATCTCTATTCTTCTCGTTTCATTTATTCTTTGATTTTATGGTTTTCTAGTAAAAAATCCATGGTTGTTGAAGTGTAACGGCCGAATAACAGAATATAACGCCCGTTACAGTCCGTTACGGGTGTGAATTTTTTTCTGACTGTTAAATCAGGGTGTTACGGTATCGCTGGCCTCCGATACCATTACGTTACATAACAACCGTTTTTCTAAACCCCTATAAAACTAGAGATCCCCAATGACCAATCCTCGCATGAATTGCTAAGGATCCAATAAGTCCAACATTAATTCCTTCAAATGTGTCAATTGGACAAATACGTCCATAGTGACTAGGATGAATATCTCTTATTCGAAAACTAGCAGTTCGTCCTGTCAATCCTCTAGGTCTCAAATAACTCAATTTTCTCCCATGAACTATTTGTGTCAATGGATTAGTTCGATCCAAAACTTGAGATAATTGGTGTAAACCGAAAAAAGATTCATAAGTAATTGTTAATAGAGTTGAAGTTACCAAATTCTGAGGAGTCGGTATAAACTTATGCCTAATTGCTCCACAGACCAAATTATACAATGAAGGTAAAATCATTTTCCCTAGATAAACATTTAATGTTTGTTAGCAATAAAATTTACCGACAAAAAGAGGTCAAGCCGATTAGCAAGTTGACCAACTCGTTCACGTTCATTTGACGTACTCTTAAGATAAGACTGTTCTCCTTTAGCTTCTTTAGTCAATTCTAATTGTTCACTCTTAGTTGATTGTTCCGCTCTTTAAGTGGAAGCCCAGCGATGCACTATAGTGTTGAATTTCTTGATTGAAATGGTTTATATCTGAGTATTGCAAGTGCTTGTAGGAAAATTAACACCAAACTTAAGGTGTTCAATCTAATTTTTTGCATATGAAACCAACAATGGTGTGACAAGGATGGAAAGAATGCTCGAATCGTTTATCGCATTACTCAAAAGCTATAACAATCACCTGGATCTTTCTCCGATGGCTTTAAAATGAAGGTATTACCACATGTAACTGCAACTGGAAACATCTGCAGAAAACCACAATGTAAACATTCAGAGAAGTTCTTCATGCTTTTGTATTACTAACATTTTGTTAATGAAAGATATTTCAAGTGCCATTACAACACCACATCTTGTTTGCAAGTGAAAATTAAGCATAATGCATACAGTTTCCCATCCAGAACGAACTGTAACAAACTTACTGATTCACTTGGTTTTGGAGTTCTACTGTGATAGCTAGACAAATTTAATAGTCTCTCATGCTATAGTGGTGTCTTTACTATCAGGCATGTTCTTTTGTCCAAGGTTCCACCCAAAAAACAGTGCTTTTTTGTAGATGACTTCTCAAAAAATCATCCCTTGACCATACACAAGTCAGAATGAGAAACAAACCTATCCTCCTTTGTTTTAGTTTTATATGCTAGCAGCAAAAAAAAAAGACAATCAATCATTTTCACTATCCAAGTTTGACAACATCTGCTGATTGTTTAATTCTTCTTTCTTCTTGGCAGGCCAAGGTTTAGAAGAGTTGCTACTTGAGATCTTTATGAGTAGTACGAGTTTAGTTCCCAAGTACAGGAGAGCCAGTGGCCTAAAAAATGAAGTGCTTTGAATTTGATTTGGAGGGCAAGCATAAAAGAGCTTCGTCCTCGAGGTGAATAAAATCTAGGCTCATATTTCCCAGGAGTTTGCCACTATACCACACTATCCACAAGTAGGCATTTGTGGGATCTAGTCACCCGAAAAGAGAAGCTCATGGGCCCAATTACTACAGATGCTAAAAAAAAATTTTAAAAAAAGTTTTTTTCCAGAAGTACTCCTCATTAGAGAGCATCAGATAAAGCACCTTCGTTTTTGCCATGTTTTGAATGGAGGAGCGACAATATTTTATGAAGACAAGCTCATTACAGTTCCTGCAACTATCCAACATTAATTTAATAGTGTTCACTTTGAGGGTAATATTTAGTTTAAGTCCATTCATCAAGTTTGATAGGTTTAGGTAGGACGGTACTACAGTTCTATTCAAATATGCTCAATTGATTAGTTGGACCTTTATTTTGTCCCCCATCATAGAGTCATAGACTATTCATTCTCTTGGACCCCAAGATTTGGTTAGTTGAATATGCTAGAAGGACCCTCCCTCTGAGATTAGTTTAATTACCCTAGAGGCAGAGAATATACTAGTAACAAAATGAAAAAATACTTAAAAGGAAAAGCAACAAATAGCAGTCTTACCCACAAAGGAATCATTGCGGGGAAGTTGAAGGGACAAATCCCAGCACAAACACCAAGCGGCTCTCTAATGCTATAGGTATCAATTCCACTCGAGACATTGGGAACAAACTCTCCCATCTGCAAAGTTGCCATCCCACAAGAATGTTCCACCACCTCTTCAAGAGATATCCCCAGAATTTCAGAAACTAAACTATCAAGAAGATGTCTTCTTATACAACAACCAATTACCAAAAGTACCAACCTAATCCACGGAACACATCGCCTTGTGCATCCTTCAATGTCTTCCCCTGTTCTGTTGTAATGTTCATGGCAAGTTTATCCTAAAACAAGAATTAGAATCATTGCAATCCATGAAAATCATTCGCTGAACACAAGCCGATTGAAATTGGAAAACACATCGCACTAACCATATCTCTTCGAATAAGTTCTTGGAGCTTGAACATGATACGCTGGCGGGCTGTAATTGGCGTGTTTCGCCATGATGGAAAGGCTTGTTTGGCTGCAGATACTGCAGCCTTGAACTCCTCATTCGTTGTCAATGGTAATTGACACACAACTTGCTGTGTTGCCTATTTCCAGACCACTAAACAGTTAGAGAAAACACTCGTCCAAGACACCCAAAAAAAGAAAAAAAAAATTAAAACATTGCTCCTGAACTTACTGGGTTCAAAACATCGATGGAGTCACATGATTGAGAATCAACAAAACTTCCTCCAATAATATTTGGAACTCTCTGATATAATAGGAACAGTATAACTATTAAGCTCATCAAAATTCAAAATAGACACAAAGAAATAACAACTAAGAAAACAACAAAATATAGGACGAAATTTTTTCCTTCAATCCGATAATATGAGAATCTCTAACAAGCTGAGCCAAATCAATTGTGCAAGATAGGAAAAAATCACCCAGTTTCTAAATTTTCTAGTTGAGATAATAAAATCATCATCCTATGCCACATGAATATATATATTTTTTTTCCGGGAAACGAATTTCTGTCGAAAGAAACAACACTTACCGGAGGGTTGCGAAGTCTCCAAGAGGGTTCAACGGCGGTGGAGAAATCATAACTTCTGAGGTCAAATATCCGATGCCTCAATGATCTCAAGTTCCTCACTGTAACACACACACGTACGTGAAATCAAATTAGGATATTGTTGAACTACACTCGATTGGTAGTCTGATACGTGAATTGAGACGTTTACCTCGTTGAATTGAAAACTGAAGCATAGTCTCAGCTCTATCCGATGATCTGAGAATTGTAAGTGTTTGGTGTTGCCACTGACTGTTAATGTTTGACCTCAATTACTGTCCTACGATGTGATATGTACTCCACGTAGATGATTGGCTTGGCGTTAGGTGTTTTATATTTCATTCATGATAAGGATTTGGTAGTATATGATTGTTAACATTATTATAACAAACCCTGTACAACGAGGACCCTCTCAAGATAAAACGCAGTTACTCAAGACTATTAATGGGGCCTATTTGTATTTTATATGACAGATATAAAATAGTAAATGATCATCAAAATAATAAAATATATATGTTTAAAACAATATCTTTATATTTTTAAGATTTTATATCCAAATTTTTATAGGCATCTCTGGGAAAAAAAATGTATACTTGTATTTGGAGAAGAATTTAGTTTTTTAGTGTAGGGTTAGTGTTTTTAATTTAATGTTAGTTTATATTTGTAAGAATCTAATCTCTATATGCTACTAATTTATTTACTTTTTTAATTTATTTTTATTATGAGTAATTTTTTCAAGCTGATAGACTTATGTTAAAATATATGTGTAATTTAAAAAGTAAAAATTTATAATAACTAGTTTTGCCAACATTGAATTAAACTGAGCACAAAATTTAAAAAATAGATAAATAAAACCTCACAAATAATTTTCAGATAAAAAGAAGAAAGAAACAAATAAATTAAATATCCTTTATTGATTAGACCCTCAAATTAAAAAATGCTATTAAACTTTATAAGAGATTAAAGATTATAAAAGATTTGAACATTCATGATACTTTGTATGTGTGTGACGGAGAGAGAGAGAGAGAGAGCGAGAGCGAGAGAGAGAGCGAGAGCGAGAGAGGTTGTGTCATAACATGTTGATTACTAGTATTCTGAGCCCCAATTATCACTAATTAAAATAATGGAAGCCAACTTATCATTGACTAAAATTTATGTTGCAACAACCATTTTAAGCAAGCCTAGTTTGTTCTAATATTTAGTTGGGTTTTTTGTATTTTGTATTCCAAAATGTATCTCTATTTTCACTTTATACTTTAAAAGATTATTTTTCTCACATTGTATTTTGAAAAAATATTTTATTAACATTGTATCATAAATTAGTTTCAATGTAGCCCTCAAACTAACATCAATTTCAAATTTTATTAAAAATTGATGAACATACCATCCACATTTGTTGTTTCTAGGGAAAATATATATTCATCATTCATATCTTTGGGTGGTAAGTCTATCAATTTTTAATAAAATCTGAAATAAATGTTAGTTCAAAGGTCACATTAGAACTAATTTATGATTTTTCAGGGTGCAATGTGGGGAAAAAATATCTTTTGGGGTGGAAAATAGAAATAGAGACATCTACAAAATACAAAAAAATCCTATTTAGTTGGGTAATTTGAAAGTCGGTACAAAATTTTAAACTTATTTGAGTTAAACTACATTAAGGAAACTTATTTGACCTTAAATACATTTTTTTGAAGAAAGACTAAAAGGGTATTTATTACTGTATTACTCTCTCTCCTTCTCGCTCTATTACTCTTTCACTCTCTCTTCCCTATTTTCTCTCTATCTATTTTATTAAAATTGAACTTAATAGAATAAATAACTTACCTATACACTTTTTCTCAAATAAGTCTAAAAAATTATACCTACAGCAAAAAAAACCCTATTTAGTTTGTTAAAGTCCAATACTCTTTTTTGTTATTGTTTTTCCGTCTGGACAATTGGGCCACATAATGGCATTGAAAGTTGGGAATTTTGGAGGCCGATCTCCCTATATAAACTTGTTTGGACTTAAATTCTTCAAGAAAACTTATTTGTTATAGAGTCCATTTTTTGTCAATTTTATCATATTATCCCTTCCCTTTAGAAGTAAAATAAAATTGAAAATTAAAAACTTCTAAATCTTAGGAATTTGACTAACATTAAAATATTTTCTCTCTCATATCTATCTATATCCATATATAGGTTAAGAGTTTGACTAACATTAAATTTTTTTTCTCTCTTATTGATATATATATAGTAACATTAAAAATAAAAAATAGTAACATTCAAATATAAAAAAAAATTATCATTTGGACACAAAAAATAATACATTTAAACACAAAAAAATAATAACATTTAAACATAAAAAAAATTGAAACATTCAATATTAGTATTTTCAAAAAATAATAACAATAACGTGTTCAACAAAAAATATTAACATGTTCAACAAAAATAGTAACATGCTTAACAAAACTTGTAACATATTGAACAATAATTATTTCTCTCAAATTCATAAGCAAAAAATAGTACCATTCAAATACAAAAAATAATAATATTCAAAAAAAAAATAGTAACATTGAATATTAATATTTAAGAAAGCAATATTAGTAACATGCTAAACAAAAACATTAACATGCTCAAAAATAATAGTACATGAACAGTGATATACTCAACAAAAATTATTACATGAACAGTAACATAATAAAAAAATAATAATAACATGAATTTGAATTTTAGTATTCAAATTTATAGTAATTTTTTTTTATTTGAATGTTACTAATTTTTTTAATATTATTATTATATATATATACCTAACCTTGATAAGAAAGAGAAAATATTTTAATGTTAGTCAAACTCTTAACCTATATATGGATATAAATAGATATGAGAGAGAAAAAATTAACTTCCTTTTAAAGAAGGGTATTTTTGAGATAAAAAAAATGGACTTAAGTCATTATATATACTTTTAAACAAAAACTTAACCCTTTATAAGTTTCTTTACAGAATTTATTTTCAAATAAGTACATCTAGGGGGACTCTATTCCGATTTCACTTGAAAATTTTTACATTGGATTCAATTCTGAATTTTGGGGCCTAAAATTCTTTAAAATGTAACGGGCCTAGGCAACCACTCAGGTGGCTTAGGCCTAGGGCTGATCAGCCCTAATGCAAACAACTCCCTTCTAAGCACATGTATTTGATTCCTAGGTAGGCTAATGGCAGACTCAAGTCATGAGCCTTGCGGCCCAGTTTTCTGTCAAAACAGATATTTTATACCCTCGACTTCTTTTTTATTTATTTTATTTTTTTCTCTTGTTTTTTTGAAATTAAATAAATTTATCAAACCAAAACAACAAGATATAGAATGAAATTCAAAACATGCCAAAAAAAGGCCACATGAAACAATATTCAGAAAGTTTGTTCCCTCCATACACCTGAGGCCTTTTGTTTGCAATATTAGATTTGGGTGGTATTAGAATATATTTGGTCTTAAATTTTTATCTCATCCTTTCTAATGTTTGATTGTTCAATAAATACTACGGTAGGTCCCACAAATAACTATCTATTCTATCACATCTTATATAACAAATATACCATTTTAACTTTAACATCTCCCATTCCATTACTCTGTTTGTGTAACTTTTTTGTACAATGTTTGGTATAATAAATAATCTAATGATATGAATCAGTGATACCGTAAAAAAAAATTCGGTGATATCATACACTTAAACATAATACAAGAAAAAAATTTAAAATAATTTTTTTAAAAAAACTGTTAACACCTTACACTTAAACATAATATAAGGAAAAAATTCAAAATAATTTTTTTAAAAAAACATTCAAAAAAAAAAATCGTTAACACCGTACGCTTAAACATAATAGAAAAAAAAAATTTCAAAATAATTTTTTTAAAAAAAATCAGTGATATCGTACGCTTAAACATAATATAAAAAAAAATTCAAAATAATTTTTTAAAAAAAAATTTTAAAAAAAATCAGTGACATTGTACGCTTAAACATAATATGAAGAAAAAATTCAAAATAATTTTTTTTAAAAAAATTAAAAAAAATTCAGTGATACTATACGTTTAAACATAATATGAGGAAAAAATTTAAAATAATTTTTAAACAAAAAAAAACCGATGACACCGTATGCTTTAAACATAATACAAAGAAAAAATTTAAAATAAATTTTTTATATATAAACTCTTAACAGAGGAGAGTATTTGTGTTATTTTACTCTCTTATACCGTCCTTTTATTTGTACCGAAAAGATAATATCATCTGGTAGGTGGTATTCAATAGTACCATATAGAAGACATTTAAGTCACTGTTCACACCGAGTCGATACTATGATCCAAAAAATAATACTAACGAAAAATATTAAACAAATAAAATATAAGGTAGACTCTACGTACTATTTTCCTAATCCTACCCTTTTATACCACTCATATCCTGCAAACAAACAGACCCCTGCTCTATAAATAAAACAATCTCTACCAATCCAAGACTAGGTACAAAAACTAGGACAGGTCAATAAGCCTCTCGACTTCTTTAATTTCTATTTGTTATGACTATGACCAGTGTAGTGTTTAGGAACAATTGAGCTTTTTTTTTTTGAGTTGGGGGGGGGGGGGGGGGGAGGAGGTATGTTGTAAAGGACATAAGGAGAGGAGATAAAATAGGTTTCAGAGGAGGGATCTACAACCCCAAACCATCAAGTCGATGCTACGAAGAGCTGGAGTTAAGGAGACCCTTCAGGAGTTGGTGTGGTTAATCGAGCTTGAATGTCAGCAAATGAGATTCCTCTAAAAAATCCAAACAGTCTTCCAATTTGTTTTATGGCTCTGTTTATAGCTGTAAAATAAAAAGAAAGAAAAGAGAGTTGAAAAAAATAAAAGAGAATTGCAAAAGAGACTAAACTCTACTTTTGGAACTTCAATTTTCACCTTCAATCTAAGCCTAGTACACCTTTTTGGCCTTTTTAACTCAAGCTAAAAAATGAACTTTGATTGATCAAGGCATTTTATTAATGCAAGGAACTTATTTTACAGGAATTTATTTTGTTTTCTTTAAGAAATTGAACATAAAAACACCAAACCAGCTAGCAAACAAAAACGAATGACTAAATTTACAATAAATTCCTTTAAAAATTATCAACAATTCCACCACCAAAACAAAAAAAAAATCTAAGTCAAGCTAATCATCATCACAAT